TGCTGCTGCTGCTGCTTCTGGTGCTGCTGCTGCTTGTTGTCGCTGTAGTGGTAGTTGTTGTCGTGGTGCTGCTGGTCGCCGTGCTGCCCCTGGTCGCCATCGTGGTGGTGGTGGTGCTGGTCGCCTTGCTGGCGGTGGTGGCGCTGCTGGTCGTAGGCGTGGTGGTGGCGGTTATGCTGCAGCTGCTGCCGCTGCTTGTTGTCGCAGTTGTGGTAGTGGTTGTAGTGGTTCTGCTGGTCCTCCTGCTGCGCCGGCGGGCGGTCTCCCGGGGTGGGGCCGCGCCCGTTCCACCGCATCAGAAACACGGCGGCAGTCGGCTAGGGGCCGGCGTCTCCGTGTAGCGGGCGTCCGCCAGGAGGTCGGCGAGGTGCGGCTCGTCCCCGTCGACGGCCAGGGTGTGCGGCGGCAACTCCAGCAGCGTGGCCGCGAACGCCCTCTGGGCCGCGACCGCAGCCAAGCCTGTCCAGCGGTGTAGGTACGCCGCCCGCGCCGACGCTCGGAGTCGCTGCGGCGCGCTGCGGGCTCTGGTCCTGGCGAGCAGCCGGACGAAGGTCAGGGCCCCCTCGGACCACCTGCCGCCGACTTCCAAGCCCAGCACAACCAATCGGCATCTCCTTGACCCGATGAGCTCGGGGTAGGTCGCTTCCTTCTGGCCCCGCGCGACCGCGAGCTGGACTCCGTCCTCGTCCGCGGCTCTGGGCTGCGCGGTGCCGTCGGTGCGGACTGGCGACGCCAGGGTCGCGTCAATCGCCAGCTGCGCTCCTCCCCAGAGCGGCAGGCCGTTCGCGATGACCTCGATCTTGCGCCCGTCGCGGGGGTCGACGCCGTCCACGTTGAGGTCTCGCAGGAGCTGGTTCTCTGCGACTCGGCCCCCGGCCTCGCGACAGATACGTGCAGCCGCTTTCTCCAATGGGATGGATCTCTTCTTGAGCACCCCTGCCCTTGGGCACGCCGCTCTGTGGTCACCTCTGGCGTCCAGTCTGCCTCTGCATCTGCAAGCGCTCGCTGCGAAGGGTAGATCAAATCGCAAGCGCCTGAGGAGCAGGACTCTGAATTCTGCCGGCGGGATGTGGAAGTCCCCCGTCGTGGGCAGCGCGGTGAAGGCTCGTCCCGCGCACGGCCCGCTCTGTGACCGGAGGAGGGCGCGGTCCGGTGGCGTGGAGGCGTTGAGGAGCTGCTGTCGGGCTGTGTTCTCCAAGACTCTTGGCGGCCCAGAACTGCCAGCCGTGCGCCCATTCGCCGTGCTCCCGTTCGTGCGTCGGCGGTGGCCGGGCGCCCTGCGCAAGGTCGTGCCAGTTGGGCGCGGCGAAGCCGTGCGCCGAGAGGTGCTCCTTTGCCCTGCTGGCTTGTTGTAAGCACCCGGGAGCGGCCGGCAGCGGGCCCCGGTCCAGCGCGCTCAGTGCAGCGCAGATCTGGTTTGTGAGCTCGGGGCAGCGTTGGCGGAGCATCTGCGCGCAGTCTGCCCAGGAAGCCCACCAGGCCGCCGGCGCCGTCCTGGACGCGCTTCGCAGGCCGAGCCCCCCCATGCAAAGCGGCAGTTTGCAGCGTTGGCGCGCTGACGTGCCTTCTGCGACAGCTTCTTGCGGGAGTTCCAGCAAGTCGGCGAGCGCGTTGGCCAGGTTGTCGTCGCGCGCTGCGGCGAAGGCGGCCGTGTCCTCGGGAGCCAGCGCCCTCAGGAAGAAGTTGGCCCGGGGGTTGGCGCACATGCTGAGCAGGAGCCACGAGGATTGCATGTCCCCGACGTGTGGTATCCTCGCGAGCAAGCGGCGGTGTTCTTCCAGGATGGCCTCCAGGTGTTGGGCGACGAAAGCTCCGTGGCCTATCGGGGCCCCCAGAACGACCAAGCCCTGGGCTTCCGGCGGGGTGTCTGCTCCTCCTACCCACACCCGGTCTGCTGCTGAGCCCAGCTCTCGGATGCCAAGTGGCTCCTGCCCTTCCCTGTTCCAGACTCGCGTCTTCCCCATGTTCACGCTGATGCCGCAGTGCGCTTGGAGGGCGTCCCGCACGGCGTTGAAGAGGAACCTCGCTCTGTCTGGCGTGGTGACCAAGTACACGTCGTCAAGGAAGGCGAAGATGCGCTCCCCGGGCCGGAGTATGCCTTGGACCTGTTGCAGGGCGGGGTGTTGTCCCAAGGCGAACAGGGCTGGCATGAGCGGGTCTCCTTGCTCTCCTCCTTCCGCCTGGTCGATCGCGTGCCCTTGTCCCGCGTCGTCGTGCCACCAGTACTGCGATCTTTCCCCGTAGAAGAGGCGGCAGAAGGGAAGCAGTGCGCTACCCCTGCCCAGGTTTGCTAATCCTTCGAGCATGGGGTTTCTGGACATGAGGTCGAATGCCCTGATTCCGTTTATGGAAACCACCGTGGCAGCCGGGTCGCCCTGGGTGAGAGTCTGCACGAGGTGCGCCACGCATTCCGTGCCTGCTCGGGTCGAGGGTGCGAACTGGAAGGGGGCAGTCGCCTGCTCGACCTCTTCGCCCACTTGCTGCGCCAGCGTGCGGGCTACCAGCCGCCTGAAGACGTCGCCAGTCACGATGCCTCGCACCCTTCCGTTGCTCTTGCGCAGCGCCGTGAGGCGGCCGAGCCGGAGGGCCTCTGCCACGGGGCCAGGGATTTCCGCCCTCGCAAGGAGCGTGGCAGCGTGGTGCAGGAGGTCGCAGCAGTGCTCGTCGTCCAGCAGCGTCTGCAAGTGTTCTCCCGTCATCCCTGAGGGGCCCGGCGCAGCGCCCCGGCGACTCCTGCGCACGTTCGTGAGGAGGCGGTCTGGTTCCAGGCTGGCGAGGCCTTGCGGCGGCGCGCGGGCGGCTCGCTCGCTGAGCTGCTCTCTCGGCTGCTGCAGGCGGCGTGCCGGGTCCCGGAGTTCGTCCAGAGTGGCCTGTGTGCCTGGTGCCACCGCGCTCGCTGTCAGCGCTTGCCGCGCCGCCGAGACCTCGGCGAGGCGGATCAGCTCGCGGGCCCTCTCGCAGCGGCTGCGGAGCTCCTCGTTTTCGTCTGGCGCCAGGCCCCGTCGTGCCTCGGGCGCCCTGCTCTGCCCGTTCGCGTCTCGCTCGGGCGGCCTGCGCGGCGGGCCCGGCTGTGCTTCTGTCAGAAGCTGCGCCCAGTCTCCAGCCTCGAAGCGGGTGAACCTCTCCAGGAGTTGCTCCCTGGGGATCCTTTGCTGCCCCGCCTCTCTCCTCAAGAGCAGTCGTGGGAGCAGGAGGAACAGCTTCCACCCTCTCGCTGCTCCTGTCTCGTCTGCTTCGCCCTCTCGGATCAGCTCCAAAGCTTTGCGCAAGGCGTTGCGGAGCGGCCCCCGCGCGAACGCTGGCGCCCGTTGGAGGGTTGGCACGCGGGCCCGGAGCACAGATGCTGCGTCTGTCGCGTCCAGCGCTTCCCTCTCTGCCGCCGTCGAGCGAGCGCGGGCGTGGGCGGGGCGGCGCCCCAGGGGCGCCCGGGGAGGAGCAGCTCGTCCCGCGCCCCCGTCTCGGCGGGGCTGGGCCAGCGGCGCGGGCAGCGCGGGGCCAGAGTTGCTGGAGGCGCTGTCCTCCGTGTCCTCCTCGCTCTCGCTGGCGGTGCTGCTGCTCGAGCTGCCTCCTCCCCCTCCTCCCCCTCCTCTGGTGCCTCTTCCTCTTCGGCCCCCTCTAGCGCCTCGCCCTCTGCTTCCTCTGGCGCCTCTTCCTCCTCTGCCTCCTCGGCCTCTGCCTCCTGGGCCCCCTCCGCTGGCGTCGTCGCTGGGCTGAGGTCCTGCTGGCGCCGCTGGTGGCGGCCTCGGCGGGCGCGGCGCGGCTGCGGCCCACCTGGCCGGGTCGCGGAGCTCGTCTGCGCGCCGGTCGACCCCCCGCGCCAGCGCGACACCCCCGAAGAGCTCGAGCAAGAGGTCCTGGGCGAGGTTGTCGATGTAGCCAGCGCTGTCCGCCAGCGCTCTGACCGCAGGCGGCAGGTGCACGTGTCCAGGGCGTGCTCCGCCCCCAGCGGCGATCACGGCATATATCGCCCCTGGGCTGGCCCCTGCGAACTCCAGCCCTTGGGCGAAGGTCTCGGCTGGCACGGGGTCCGCTTGCTGCAAGGCCTCCACTGTCGGCTGCCACCAGTCGTGCGTGAGCGGGTGCGTGCTCCATCCCGCCGCCTCCTGCTGGTCAAGCAGCCCCGCCGCTGCTAATAGCACGGGCACGTGCACGCGTGAGTTGGTTCGTTCTCGTAGTGGGCCCGCCAGGGGAGGCCATCCGGCGAAGCGGCCAGGCTGCCGTTGCTCTGCGGCGGTGGGCGCCTGTTCGGGGCGCGCCAGTCGAGGGTCTCCTGCGTCTGCTGTTGTCGCGGGCGGCGACGGAGGGGCGGCGACCGCTGGCTCCGGAAGCGGCGTGGCGGCGCAGCCCTCGCAGAGCCAGGCCCCGTGCCATCTCCACGACCCTCCTGTGGCCCTGGCGGCCCTGGCGACCCACACGATTGGCCCTGGCCGTCCGCAGGGGCAGCGCGGCGGTCTCGCGCCCTGCGGCGGCGAGACGTCGCTACCCAGGGGGGCCACGTCGCAGGCGCGGCATTCCCAGCTGCCCGCCAGCCCGCTGGGCCCGCGAGAGTGCCGCCACCGCAGGGGTTGGAAGTGTCGCGGGCAGACTGCGATGGCGTGCGGCGCGGGCCCTCCTGGCTGCTCAAGGGGCCCTCCTGCGTAAGGGTCCGCCTCCTCCTCACTTGGCGGGCCGGCCGCGGCTCGGCAGCGTGAGCACCTGCACCCTCGGGTGGGGTAGTCTCCAGAAGCGTTCAGGGACCCCGCGAAGCCCGCGAGCGCCGCCACGCCACCCGGCGAGTCCCCCCACGGGCTGTTGCAAAGGGGGCATGGCGACCTTTCGGCACGGGATGCGTCACCTGTGTGGTGCAAGTGGGCCAGGCCCGCCCGTGTCGGCCGATGCCTCGCTGCGCACGCTGCGTGGAAGCGGCGGGGGACATGGCCGCAAGCTGGCCACGTCACGGTGTCCCCTTCGAGCGGCGTCTGGCAGATGGCGCAGTCCTCCCTGTCTGGCCGGTCTGGCCCCTGCTGTTGCTGCGGTGGCTGTCGCTGCTCCTCGGCCGC